GAAATGAAAAATAGTAAAATTACATCTAGATAATAAGAATATCTAGCTAAAATGTGGAAGAGAACAACTTAAATCTCTTTGAAACTGTGCACCTCATCCAACTCATCAATTATAATCACCTTGCACCCTATATAGGCGGTTGAGACAAAATCTTCTCCTGATAAAGAATTTTACTCTAAGTACACAACCTAAAAATTTCAACAATTCATTGGATCACATGGATTGGGTGAGGACCTTCACCCCCCCCCCCCCTCCCCACTCTCCTCTCGTTTTTGTCCCAAGTGGGGGGTGGGACTTCAACCCAAGACCCCCTATTTTAACATACTTTTAAGTACCTCACCTCAACCACTTGTACTGAGGATCATCCGTTGTACGAAGCAACTAACAAGTGTTAGTCGAGGAAATCGGAATGGGAGAATAAATCTCCACATTTAAAAAGCCTACATCTACTTCTCTAATCCATAGGGACAGCCCACATATCCCAAATCAACCTTTTAATTTGGCCCAACCCGCTTATCCCTACAAAACAAATCACATTAAACCAATTTAATATCAACCATATACAAACAAAACAAGTTTAATCATGCGTATACCAACAAAACAAGTCTCAACAACCCTAGGTCATATTCCAACAAGAACACATGTGAATCCAAGCAGTTTTAAGTACTAAAAAAGTTGCTCTTTCTTACCAAAAATAAAGGTGAATGTATCCAGTTGCAAAAGGTCTGGTCTGCTGCATATTTTCACCCTTAACGATTGATGTAAAAAGGGTATTCAGCCAAGGAAAACTCCATCTTCCTTAATAGGTGTAGTCCATGCTCTTTGGCTAATCCCTCAACATCCCGCCGATCATAAAAAGGATTGATCTTCACACTTAGATGCACTTCACCATTGGATTTGAGCAACTGACTTGCATTCTCCATAAACCCACTAATGAGACATTGATTTCTTCTACAGTAAGCTAACAACTTTCAGTACGATGACGCCTTCTAGTCAAATGTCAACGCTTTACGCGTTGGATGTCTGAAATTGAATCCATTTCCTTTAACAAATCGAGTCAACTTAAACATATATCCCCCCACCTAAGCCTTCTTCAATCAATTGTCGCTTTTCCAAAATTGATCTCGAGCTTGCAACCTCAAATGAAAACCTCATACTAGTACACCACCAAAGCTAAGAGACCAATAACATGTTGATAATCAAAAGCACTTTAAAAATGTAAGAGAAAGCACTAAACCACTTTGAATCAATATCAATCTTTCTATTTATCTCCAACAAAAAAATGAATAATTCATAATATAATTTCATAAAAAAATAATTAATTAAATATTATTAATATATTAAAAAATTGAAACTATATATTCATGTAAGAAAACATTCATTCCCTTGATTTATGGGGGCTTTAGTCTCAGTTGTATGAACCAAGATTAACAAAAGTTAAAACAAAGATAAAAAATAAGTTAAACCTACAATATACAGTACTTTGAAATCTAAATTCACCAATGGGACTTCTTCCACAATCTGAGCAGGCAATTCTAAGTAGCAACAAACCTAATTGTACCCTTCCCCTATAGAAACTTTTTGAAAATTTGAAAGTAATTCATTGCTTTTTCTTTGTAGATGGTTGAATGAGATTAACTCGCAGATCCAATTATAAAAGATCATGGAACTGTAGAAAGGCAAAACGAAGGGAAAATCTGAGAGAAGGCACCAATCTACGGTCTGAGATGTTAATCTCAATTGCCTTGGAACTGTTGACTTGAAGCAAAGTAGACGGACGTAAAAGAAGTCTCGAATTGGCTTTGAAAATAGGAGTGTCTCAATCGTTTGGAGAGAACCAAATTTTATCGTAAATTGGAGATAGGGAGGTATGAATCGTAAAAGTATTCGGCTAGGACACGCGGCATCATAACAGTTTGTCATCTGACTGAATATCATCATATTGGAGTCAATATTACTCACAGATACACACAGATTATTCCTAAACAAAGAAAGTAAATATCAATCACATATTCTTCATAGTCCTTTTTGTAAACGGCACAGTGAGCCCTATTGATGACCACCACATCGAAGAGCTTGTCTTTGATTTCAGGATGGAGCAACAATCTCGTAGCATCCACTTTAAACTTGATTTTGACCCCCCTTGCCAAAGAATTTACCACATGATATTCAACCTTAGTATAGTTCTTTATTAAATATGTTGTTCATGATATTTAAAAATTTAATCAAGAATTATCATATAAAAAATATAAATGTTGTTTTTCCATGTTTTAAGACTCAAACACTGATAAAGATGTATACAAAATGCTTAAATATGGGATTAAAGCCCGTTGAAAGTATGTTTGGAATTGTTCCAAGTCTTGTGGCAAAACTATGGGTGAAAGAGAAATCTCCATCGCCCACAATAAAAATCTGTAGCTCATGCGTGTAATACACGTTTCTAGGTTCTTCAATCTCCCTTCACACATTTTGACGAACCTAGAACCATGCTTTCACGGGTGAGCTAGAGATTCTTATTGTGAGCGATGGAGATTTCTCCTTCACTCATAGTCTTGTGGCAAGACTTGGAAAAACTCCAAACATACTTTCAACGGGCTTTGATCCCAAATATAAGCATTCTCGTATAAATCTTAATTACTGTTTCAGTCTAAAAACATGAAAAAACAACATTTATATATCTTATACGATAATTCTTGCTTAAATTCCCAAATGTTATGAACAGTATTTTAAAGAGAGAATTATACTAAGGACGAACATTTTGTGGAAAATTCTTTGGTAAGAGGGGTCAAAATCAAGTTCGAAGTGTATGCCATGAGATTGTTGCTCCATCTTGAAATCAAAGACAGACTCTTTGACTTGATAGTCTTCAATAGGCCTCACTGTGGTGTTCACAAAAAAAGACTAAGAAGAACATGTGATTAGGTATTTACTTTCTTGTTTAAGAATAATCTGTGTGTGTAATATTGACTCCGGTGAGATGCTATTCAGTCAAATGACAAAGTATTATGATGTTGTGTGTCCCAGCCGAATACTTTTACGACTAAGACTTCTTTATCTCCAATATACGATTAGATTTAGTCCTCTCCAAATAATAGAGACACTCTCTTATTTTCAAAACCAATTCGAGACTTCTTCTACAACGTAGAATGGTGCCTTCTCTTTGATTTTTCCTTCGTTTTTCCTTTCTTAAACTCCGTGATCTTTTACACTTGGATTTGTCAGTTAACCTCGTTCAACCATCTACAAATAAAAAACAAGGAATCACTTTCTAATTTTCAAAGGTTTCTATACGAGAGGGGTACAATTAGTTTCATTGCTACTTGGAATTGCCTACTCCTCAGATTGTGAAAGAAGCTCCATTAACGGATTTTAATTTCAAAGTACTGTATGTTGTAGATTTACCTTTATTTTTCATCTTTGTTTTGAGTTTTGTTAATCTAAAGACCTCATATATCAAGGGCATGAATGTTTCTTACACGAATATATAGTTTTAATTTTTTTAGTACATTAATATTATTGAATTAATTATATTTTTATGAAATGATCTTACAAATTATTCATTTGTTTGTTGGAGATAAATAGACAAATTGATTTTGCTTCATGGTGGTTTTGTGCTTTCTCTTAAATTTTTAAAGTGATTTTGATTATCAGCATGTTATTGGTCTCTTAACTTTGGTCTAGTATGAGATTTTTATTTCGGGTTGCAAGTTGGAGATTAGTTTTTGAAAAGCGACATCTGAATATATCACAAAAGAAGGGCTAGGTGGGGGGACAATATATGCTTAGGTTGACTCGATTTGTTAGAGAAAATGGACTGAATTTTAGACATCTAGCGCGTAAAGTGTTGTCATCTGACCAAAAGGTGTCATCGTACCAAAAGTCGTCAGCTTATTGTAAAAGAAATCAATGCCTCATACCCTCATCAATGAGTTTATGAAGAATACAAGTCACTTGCTCAAATCCAATGGTGAAGTGCATCTAAGCGTAAAGATCAATCCTCTTTATGATCAATGGGATGTTGAGGGATTAGCAAAAGAGCATAGACTGCACCTATTTAAAAAGATGGAGTTTGCCTTGGCTGAATACCTTTTTTACACCGATCGTTAAGGGTCAAAATATGCAGCAAACGAGACCTTTTGCAACTGGATACATTCACCTTTATTTTTGGTAAGAAAGATTAACTTTTTAGTACTTAAAACTGCTTGGATTCACGTGTGTTCTTGTTAAAATATGACCCGGGGATGTTGAGACTTGTTTTGCTAATACCTCAAGAATGATGTTCGGATTGATTGCTAATTAGCAGAAGAATGGTGTACCAAAATCTTGAGTTGTACCTAATAAACTGGAAATAAAACACAATTGCATGATTAGTCAGCCCCAAATAGTACTAGAGTATGGTGATTTGAGAATATGAAAATACTTATTTAAATTTCGAAAAATCAAAGAAATTAGTATTGAACATTAGAAACGTCTGGAAGCGGAGCTGCTAAATTAGTGTATCAACTCGCCATCTACACAACAATAACCAAGTAGCCTCGTTAAATTTTTAAAATTGGAAAGAAAAAAAATGAATGATTCATAATATGTAATTAATTGCTATGACTTTATAGATAATTGTTTCTTAAACATGAAACATTCAGAGAATTGCAGGAACCATACCTGAAATTATGCAATCTGATGATATCATAACCATGACCATCTGTGAAGATCTGCAGCGGCAATTTAGGGGGAGTCGTCTCTCTTAAATCGCAACAGAAAGAGAAAGAAACGGATGAAAATTAATCAGCTAATTAACAAGAAGAAACCTTAAAAAAATAGGTGCTTTTTTTAGAAGTTTAATTCAAATTTACCTGTTGGATCAGTGGAGGAAGAAAAACACATGTGATGCTACATTTACCTCTCTAATCCATAGGGACAGCCCACATATCCCAAATCAACCTTTTAACTTGGCCCAACCCGCTTATCCCTACAAAACAAATCACATTAAACCAATCTTAATATAAACCATATACAAACAAAACAAGTTCAATCATGCGTATACCAACAAAACAAGTCTCGACAACCCTGGGTCATATTCGAACAAGAACACATTTGAATCCAAGCAATTTTAAGTACTAAAAAAGTTACTCTTTCTTACCAAAAATAAAGGTGAATGTATCCAGTTGCAAAAGGTCTCGTCTGCTGCATATTTTCACCCTTAACAATTGATGTAAAAAGATATTCTGCCAAGGCAAACTCCATCTTTAATAGGTGTAGTCCATGCTCTTTGGCTAATCCCTCAACATCCCGCCGATCATAAAAAGGATTGATCTTCACACTTAAATGCACTTCACCATTGAATTTGAGCAACTGACTTGCATTCTTCATAAACCCACTAATGAGACATTGATTTCTTCTACAGTAAGCTAACGACTTTCAGTACGATGACGCCTTCTGGTCAAATGTCAACGCTTTACGCGTTGGATGTCTGAAATTCAATCCATTTCCTCTAACAAATCGAGTCAACTTAAGCATATATCCCCCCACCTAAGCCTTCTTCAATCAAATATTCAATTGTCGCTTTTCCAAAATTGATCTCGAGCTTGCAACCCCAAATGAAAACCTCATACTAATACACCACCAAAGCTAAGAGACCAATAACATGTTGATAATCAAAAGCACTTTAAAAATGTAAGAGAAAGCACTAAACCACTTTGAAGCAATATCAATCTTTCTATTTATCTCCAACAAAAAAATGAATAATTCATAATATAATTTCATAAAAAAATAATTAATTAAATATTATTAATATACTAAAAAATTGAAACTATATATTCATGTAAGAAAACATTCATTCCATTGATTTATGGGGGCTTTAGTCGTAGTTGTATGAACCAAGATTAACATAAGTTAAAACAAAGATAAAAAATAAGTTAAACCTACAACATACAGTACTTTGAAATCTAAATTCACCCATGGGACTTCTTCAACAATCTGAGCAGTAGGCAATTCTAAGTAGCAACAAACCTAATTGTACCCTTCTCCTATAGAAACTTTTTGAAAATTTGAAAGTAATTCATTGTTTTTTCTTTGTAGATGATTGAATGAGATTAACTCGCAGATCCAATTATAAAAGATCATGGAACTGTAGAAAGGCAAAACGAAGGGAAAATCTGAGAGAAGGCACCAATCTAAGGTCTGCGATGTTAATCTCAATTGCCTTGGAACTATTGACTTGAAGCAAAGTAGACGGACGTAGAAGAAGTCTCGAATTGGCTTTGAAAATAGGAGTCTCTCAATCGTTTGGAGAGGACCAAATTTTATCGGAGATAGGGAGGTATGAATCGTAAAAGTATTCGGCTAGGACACGCGGCATCATAACAGTTTGTCATTTGACTCAATATCATCATATTGGTGGAGTCAATATTACTTACAGATACACACATAGATTATTCTTAAACAAAGAAAGTAAATATCAATCACATATTCTTCATAGTCCTTTTTGTAAACGGCACAGTGAGCCCTATTGATGACCACCACATCGAAGAGCTTGTCTTTGATTTCAGGATGGAGCAACAATCTCGTAGCATCCACTTTAAACTTGATTTTGACCCCCCTTGCCAAAGAATTTACCACATGATATTCAACCTTAGTATAGTTTTTTATTAAATATGTTGCTCATAACATTTAAAAATTTAAGCAAGAATTATCATATAAGAAATATAAATGTTGTTTTTTCATGTTTTAAGACTCAAACAGTGATAAAGATGTATACAAAATGCTTAAATATGGGATTAAAGCCCGTTGAAAGTATGTTTGGAATTTTTCCAAGTCTTGTGGCAAAACTATGGGTGAAAGAGAAATCTCTATCGCCCACAATAAAATCTCTAATTCACGCGTGTAAGGCATGATTCTAGGTTCGTCGATCTCCCTTCACACATTTTGACGAACCTAGAACCATGCTGTACACACGTGAGCTAGAGATTCTTATTGTGAGCGATGGAGATTTCTCCTTCACCCATAGTCTTGTCGCAAGACTTGGAAAAACTCCAAACATACTTTCAACAGGCTTTGATCCAAAATATAAGCATTCTCGTATAAATCTTAATCACTGTTTGAGTCTAAAAACATGAAAAAACAACATTTATATATCTTATACGATAATTCTTGCTTAAATTTTTAAATGTTATGACCAACGTTTTTAATAAAGAACTACACTAAGGCTGAATATCATGTGGTAAATTCTTTGGCAAGGGGGATCAAAATCAAGTTCGAAGTGGATGCCACGAGATTGTTGCTCCATCTTGAAATCAAAGACCGACTCTTTGATTTGATGGTCTTCAATAGGCCTCACCATGGCGTTCACAAAAAAGACTACGAAGAACATGTGATTAGCTATTTACTTTCTTGTTTAAGAATAATCTATGTGTGTAATATTGACTCCGATGAGATGCTATTCAGTCAAATGACAAAGTGTTATGTTGTGTGTACCAGCCGAATACTTTTACGACTAAGACCTCTTTATCTCCAATTTACGATTAGATCTAGTCCTCTCCAAACAATAGTGACACACTCTCCTATTTCCAAAGCCAATTCGAGACTTCTTCTACAACGTAGACTTGGTGCCTTCTTTTTTATTTTTCCTTCATTTTTCCTTTCTTAAACTCCATGATCTTTTACACTTGGATCTGTCAGTTAACCTCGTTCAACCAGCTACAAAGAAAAAAACAAGGAATCACTTTCTAATTTTCATATACGAGAGGGTACAATTAGTTTTGTTCCTACTTGGAATTGCCTACTGCTCGGATTGTGGAAGAAGCCCCATTAACGGATCTTAATTTCAAAGTACTGTATGTTGTAGATTTACCTTTATTTTTCATCTTTGTTTTGACTTTTGTTAATCTAAAGCCCTCATATATCAAGGGTATGAATATTTCTTACACGAATATATAGTTTTAATTTTTTAAGTACATTAATATTATTGAATTAATTATTTTTTTATGAAATGATCTTACATATTATTCATTTGTTTGTTGGAGATAAATAGACAGATTGATTTTGCTTCAAGGTGGTTTTGCGCTTTCCCTTAGATTTTTACAGTGCTTTTGATTATCAGCATGTTATTGGTCTCTTAGCTTTGGTCTAGTATTAGGTTTTCATTTCGGGTTGCAAGTTGGAGATCAATTTTTCAAAGGCGACATCTGAATATATCACAAAAGAAGGGCTAGGTGGGGGGGAATATATGCTTAGGTTGACTCGATTTGTTAGAGAAAATGGACTGAATTTTAGACATCTAGCGCGTAAAGTGTTGTCATCTGACCAAAAGGTGTCATCGTACCAAAAGTCGTCAGCTTATTGTAAAAGAAATCAATGCATCATGCCCTCATCAATGGGTTTATGAAGAATGCAAGTCACTTGCTCAAATCCAATGGTGAAGTGCATTTAAGCATGAAGACCAATCCTCTTTATGATCAATGGGATGTTGAGGGATTAGCCAAAGAGCATAGACTGCACCTATTAAAGAAGATGGAGTTTGCCTTGGCTGAATACCTTTTTTACACCGATCGTTAAGGGTCAAAATATGCAGCAAACGAGACCTTTTGCAACTGGATACATTCACCTTTATTTTTGGTAAGAAAGATTAACTTTTTTAGTACTTAAAACTGCTTGGATTCACGTGTGTTCTTGTTGGAATATGACCCGGGGATGTTGAGACTTGTTTTGTCTGTATACACATGATCAGACTTGTTTTGTTGGCATATGGCTGATAATGAGACTGGTCTAAGGTGACTAAATGGAAAGTCTAGAAACGGAATAATTAAGACTTAGATTAGGGATAAGCGAATTGGGCCAAATTAAGAGGTTAATATGGGATATGTGGGTTGTCCCTATGGATTAGAGAGGTAGAGGTAGGCTTTTTGAATGTGGAGATTTGTTCTCCCATTATGGTTGCCTCGACTAACACTCGCCAGTTGCTACGTATAGCAAATACATTAAAATAGGGAAGTCTTGGGTTGAAGTCCCCCACCACCCCCCCCCCCCATGGGACAAACAGGGGAGGGGGAGAGGGGGTTCTCACCCAATCCATGTCATCCAATGATTAATGTCGAAATTTTTGGGTGGTGTACTTAAAGTAAAATAATTATTCAAGAAAAGCTTTTGTCTCAATTGCCTATAACGGGAGCAAGGTGATTATAAATGATGAGTAGGATGAGGTGCATAGTTTCAAAGAGGCATAAGTTGTACCTTACTATATTAGGAAGTAGGAACTCTATTTTGGGTTGGACCTAAAAAGGAAAGTATGAAATTTAAATTTGAATGGAAGGAGTATATGAATATGTCATGGTCTAAAAATGTTACACGGCAAAAAGTCTCGATTGTTGTACTTTTTTTCAATTAATGTGAATTCTAATACTTGGACGGTCCTAGATGAATTGTTTTAGTTCGTCTTTAGGATATCCTTAATAGATGTGTTTTACTTCTCTATTTTTCTAATAAAGTTAATTTGATGCATATTTACCTCAAGGCCTTAGAAAAGTTGTGAACTATGCTAGTAGTCCTCCTCAATAAGCTATAAAACAAGTTTGTAATATAAATTCATGTCCGTAACCAAAAAAACTCAAAGTCATAATCCATCGCCATCATTGTCATAGGTTTTTCAATAGCAAAATGAAACATATCCTTAAAAAAACACTTTTTATAGAAGCCTCTGGGCGGCCTTGTTTGGAATCATTAGAGCTACTTATTTGCTTTTTTTGGAAAAAAGCTTTCCCAATAGGCTACCTTTGATTGAGGAGTTTATTAAAGATTCTCTATTTAATTCTTCACTTTAATTTGAGTTTAAACTGTATTACTACAAATATAACTGTATTTGTTAACATGGTTATAGACTCGTTATTTTAGGGAGTCTGAATTCTTACCTATTCTTTTCATTTAAAAGACAATATTTACGGCAAGTAATGGACACAAAAAATCAAGATATATGGTAAAAAGGTGTTTAAAAAGTAAAGAAACATGACAATGTAGCACGTGGCAAATAAAAGCCATTTTGAATCATTTTTGTTTATCATTTCACAAATTAAGACTTCTTAGGTCTGAAATTCCTGAGTTATACCTATAATTGGTTTTAAAAAAACATATTTACTGCCGGATATGGTTTTAAAACACTAAATATTTTTTAAATCAACTAAAATGAAAAAAAAAGCCTTCAGAAAAAACATTTCATCTCATAAACTATAAACTATAACCAACCCAAAAATGTTTGAAACAATGAAAAAAATAGAGTAGTTGCATTTAAGTTCGAAGAAAGTTAATGAACAATTCTTGTGAGTGCTGAGTATCTTTTTTCATTAATGATGAGTAGTAATATTCTAGCAATGGAGATACTTAATGTATGCCAAAAAAGACTAAACAATTTTAAAAACAATTTAAATCAAAGCATATCATTCTAAATGAGATCATTTCATTCTTATGAAACACTTCGACCTAAATTAAAACTCCCTACATCCCAATTTGATTTCTAAACTCATTCTTCTATAGAAAACTTAAAAGTCATGCGTTCCAATTCCTGAGTCGTACTATATTTCTTTTTTAAAACCTTATTCAATGCCACTAATGCCTAAATGAATACACTTCATGCTTATGAATTTCTTTTAAAACTGAAGGTGTTTAAAACCCAAAAAAAAAGATTACAATGGAGCATGTGTTAAATGAAATGCATTTTAAATCATTTTATTTTATCGTTTCAAAAAATATCACTCCTTAGGTCCCAAATTCTTGGGTTATAACTACAATTATTTTTAAAAACAATTATATTTACTGATAGTAATGGATAGAACTAATCAAGATTTGAAAACACAACATTTAAAAAATTAACCGCAATGAAAACACTTTTGCCTAAACGAAAATATTTCATCTGATAATCTACAACCAACCCAAAAAAGTTTGAGACAATGAAAACAACTCAATAGCTAAATTAAAGTTTGTAAAATAATAATGGTCAATCCTTCTAAATGCTCAGTAATATTCTAGCAATGGAGATTATTTTTTATGAAACATTTTTGCCTAAACTAAACTCCCATTGTCTCAATTTGATTTGTAAACTTATTTTTCTAGGGATAAATTAAAGCTACCTACGTCCCAATTCTTGCGTCTTATCTATAAATTTTTATTTTTAAAAAAAAACCTTATTTAATCCCACCAATGGACATAATCAAACAAGATTTCTCATAACCAAAAAAGGCTAAAAATGTATAAAATCAACTTATATGAAAACACTACTCCCTAAGTGAAAATATTTCATTCATATGAAATTCTTTTAAAAACTAAAAAAGCATGAAAATTGAACATGTGGTAAATGAAAGCCATTTTGAATCATTTTACTTCATCATTTCACAAATTAAGACTCCATATGCCCCAAATTGAAACATATGTGTATTTTTGGATTAAAAGATAATAGATTATAAAATTAATGAATTCAATTTAAAATACCTCAAGAATGATGTTCGGATTGATTGCTAATTAGCAGAAGAATGGTGTACCAAAATCTTGAGTTGTACCTAATAAACTGGAAATAAAACACAATTGCATGATTAGTCAGCCCCAAATAGTACCAGAGTATGGTGGTTTGAGAATATGAAAATACTTATTTAAATTTTGAAAAATCAAAGAAATTAGTACTGAACATTAGAAACATCTGGAAGCGGAGCTGCTAAATTAGTGTATCAACTCGCCATCTACACAACAATAACTAAGTAGCCTCGTTAAATTTTTAAAATTGGAAAGAAAAAAAATGAATGATTCATAATATGTAATTAATTGCTATGACTTTATAGATAATTGTTTCTTAAACATGAAACATTCAGAGAATTGCAGGAACCATACCTGAAATTATGCAATCTGATGATATCATAACCATGACCATCTGTGAAGATCTGCAGCGGCAATTTAGGGGGAGTCGTCTCTCTTAAATCGCAACAGAAAGAGAAAGAAATGGATGAAAATTAATCAGCTAATTAACAAGAAGAAACCTTAAAAAATAGGTGCTTTTTTTAGAAGTTTCATTCAAATTTACCTGTTGGATCAGTGGAGGGAGACGGATGACGGATGGAATCAGCGGCGCGCCCCTGCTATGCCGCTTGACTGATGACGGAGAGGGAATCAACGAGATGAATGGATAAGGTGGAGGGAGACGGCTGTTACTCCGGTCACCACCATGAGAGAGAAGGAGACGAGGGAGAGGGAAGCTGAGTACCTGATTTTTTGGGATTACTATCGATGGCAAAATTGGAACAAAAAAAACTAGTTTTTTATTCAATTAAAACTCCATACCCTCATTGTTACGGTTTGAAATTTTTGAAACTGCCCAATTGAAAGCAACATAAAAATCCGACAGCGAAACCAAAGCGACGACTAGTTTGGGCACTATCAAACAAAACCGTGAACACCCCTAACCTCAACTACGTGCTTGCAAGTTATTCAAAATAATAATAACAATAATAAAAATAATAAAAATAAAAATAATAAAATAATCCTTTAAAAAAATTTAGTAATTTATATTGGTTTTAAAAAACATAAGTTTCTTTTTTTTCTTTTTTTATAATTTTGTCTTTTATTTAATGGTTAAAAGGGTTATTTTAAATAAGTTAACAAGGTAACTTCAGGGATAGTGTAAATAGTGATTGATTTTGGAATGGTGAGAAACATGAGGTCTTCTCGGTCAAATCAATGAGGAGATTGCTCATGACATCTCCAATTACACATCACTCTGCATCTATGTGGTGTAAATGGGTGCCCTCAAATATCAATACTAGATCTAACATCTGCCCTTTATCTGCAAGCAATTCTGAGAAAATGGGGAATATATATTCATCTAATGCTACTTTGCAAGCACGCTTTGGTCGTTCGTTACGTAACAAGACTATTATTTTAACAAGTTAATAACAATAATAGAATGTTGTTAAAATTGACGGTGTAAAAATAATAAACAAATAACTTATGTTAGAATGAGATAGTAAAAGAATAAGAAACTTTGCTTCCGAGAATTTACGATTATTATTATTTTTTTATCGATCAAGGGAATGGCATGAGTTGATTTAGGGATAGTTGACTCTGCGAGTCGTAAAAACAAGTCTTCGAAAATAAAGTTACATACGGAGTATATATTTAAAAAATAATTTCTATGACAATAATGGTGGTAGCAATAAAGAAAACATTATTGAAGTAATTAAAATGGCTTATTCTACATATCTAAATAATTGGTGAGCGCATTCATGGAAACAAAATACGGAGTAGTTATTAATGGTTTTTTTTAATTTCTATTTTTTGTTACTCCGTATGTAAAAGGTTTCCGGCTCCATCTCAAGGGGAAAACTCCCAATTTATTATTTAAAGCTAGCTCAAAAAACATAGTAATTTGAGTCGAGGTCGAAAACTTTAACACACTGGTTATTGTATGACATACACAAAACATGACAAGTTAGGAAAAATATTTCATCCAGACTTACTACTATTAGAGGTGGCAATCGAGTCAACCAGATCGGTTCCGGATTGGATTTTTTAGGTTCGGATATTTTTCGGGGATATATGTTACAATTGGTTCGGACTTAATTCGGTTCTATACATTTTTTGGTTCAGTTTCAATGCAGTTCAGATATAAATCGGTTCGGATACAATTTGGATCAGATATATTTTGATTTCGTATGTAGTTCGGTTCGGATATATATTTTGGTTTCAGATATGTTTTAGATCGAATATATTTAGGATATAATTTAATTATACATATTTCTTTTTTATGTTTTAAAGACAGAGCTTCTGCAGATTGGCACCTTAACTATTCAAATAACATGAACTTGAACCCAAATTTTGGAGTAAAACTTCAAGAAAGACCGAAAGGATGGTGTATACAATCAGTACAAGCTGCTGGGGGGTTTTGTGAGTGTGTGGAGCGAACAAAAGATAACCGATCTTACAGATGGGTTTCAAACCACATAAGCAAAGATCGTAGCTTTAAAATTAAACCAATTATTTTTAATTAAAACTTCAAGAAAGCAAAACATATATTGATGATATCGATAAGATGAAGAGAATCACTTGCCCCAAAATAACTGATTTTGCAGATGGGTTTCAAACAACAAAAGAAAAGATGGTAGCTTTAAAATTAAACCAATTCTTTTTCTATCAAAACTTCAAGAAAGCAAAACGAACATTGATGATATTGATAAGATGAAGAGAATCGCTTACCGCAGAAGATGAGGCTACTGTGAAGTTTGAATTCTTTCTACTCCGTCCGTTCTTGAAAAGCCCATTTCTCCTCTTAGAATAAATTGATGAGCGAACGGAAGAGCTGGTTGAAGACACAGTGATAACAAATGTCAACGATGAAGATTTCCCTGACATAATGTTCAAGTTTGAAAATTTTAAAGCCCTCAGTGCAGCCAAAGATATTCAGTATCGACCCATGTTTGGTAAGTGTCTATCATTCAATTTATCACAATATTATCCTTTGAAAAAACAAATCTTAATAATGACAAACCTGCATTATGTCATTTTAGATGTTATTGGGTTACTGCATGTTGATCAACCGCCAACTGAAAGGATTGAAAAAAGTGGTACCAAAGTTAGAGTGATGGATATTTGGCTTGAAGATTTAGAGTACACCTCATACAGATTTTTTTTAATTGATTTACCTTGCACAATATTTTTATTTTATTAATACTTACCTCTACATTTAGTGGTGAGAAAATATCTTGCACATTATGGAGCTCATATGTGGATCAACTCTTGGATTATCTCAACCAACAACCACTGCATCCGACGGTGGCTATTATGCANATGTTGATCAACCGCCAACTGAAAGGATTGGAAAAAGTGGTACCAAAGTTAGAGTGATGGATATTTGGCTTGAAGATTTAGAGTACACCTCATACAGATTTTTTTTAATTGATTTACCTTGCACAATATTTTTATTTTATTAATACTTACCTCTACATTTAGTGGTGAGAAAATATCTTGCACATTATGGAGCTCATATGTGGATCAACTCTTGGATTATCTCAACCAACAACCACTGCATCCGACGGTGGCTATTATGCAGTTCTGTCAAGGAGCTGTTTACAACGGTATTCCTACAAATTCTGCACAGTTTAAACATAAAACATGAATTTTGATTAACACATTAAATGTTATGCAGATATGAACAAGGCCTCGACCTTTTATGATGTTACAAAACTCATTTTGGATCAGGATTTCCTGCCTATATTGGAGTTCAAAAAACAGTAAGAAGTATTTTATATATTTGTATGCACTTTGTAATTTACCATTGCTTTCATACATTTATGTGATTAAGCAACAAATTTGCTACAGTTTAAAGGCTAAGGGAGTGAAACCCCAAAATGTACTAAGCTTCAGTGCATCTACATCCAAATCAGAACCCTCAAGCATTGAGATAAAGACATTACAACAAATCACTGAGAACTATGAGGTATATATGTATACAATATGTCTTAATATATGTTTAAACTCTTAATTTTAGTGTGACAAAATACATATGACGCCAGGTTAAGTACCTCTATGCTAAATGTTCTTCGTAGTAGTGTTTAACATTATTCACACATATTCACAGCAGGGCCGTGCATGGATTCTTTGTAAGGTTATTGGTTTTGAACAGCATGGAGCTTGGTGTTACACATCATGTAAGAAGTGCTCGAAGAAGCTATCCCCTACAAATGGTATCTATACTTGTGGCACTTGCCACCTCACAGGATTTGTCATGAGGTACATGTAACATATTCTTTGAAATTTCTTTAATAGCACCAAATACATAAGCTTTGAAGCAAATATCCCCTTTTTGTTGATAACAAAATAGGTATCGAGTCAAAGTACGTGTGGTTGACAATACGGACAATCTTGCATTGATGTTATGGGACAAGCATTGTATATCCCTTTTTGGAAAACAAGCAGAAGACTTTTTAAGGGATACTGTAAGTTAAAAAAACCAGTAAAATTCCATGTAAAGAGTACTTATTCTTTAAAAATACTGATTTACAGAGTATTTACAGGGTGATGACTCTCAAATCCCTAATGTGTTTAAGTCCATCATTGATCAGCCACTCATGTTAGAGTTGGATGTCAAAAAGACAGAATCCACTTTCTCTGAAAAAACCTATTCAGTCCAGCAGATTATTACTGACCAAAATATTTTGGGACGATATATTGTTGACACCTCTAGCACACAGGTATCATCAGTCTTTCTGCCTTATTTTATAAGCATTTAAACTAACAACATATTATTTAATGTAGGACTCTGTTAACAGTAAACCAAACAAAGCCATCACACAGACAATTGACTTAGTTGCAACTGAGGAATCCACCAAGAACGATGATCCTCAGAAGCACGGCAGTGATGTTACCTACACTTGTCTGAGTGCTAATATGAAACGAGATCTTACTAAGGAATTTGAAGATATGCAGACTCATTTGTCCAAGAAACCAAAAGTGAGTGTGAAGATTGAAAAGGACTAAGTCGCATTTAGAGAAATGGACCAGATTATGACTTTCTTATTTTTACTTTTTTTTAAAAAAGTAGTTTATGTTACTTTCTTATTGTAATGTCTAAAGTTACTTGTCAGTTAAATTAAACTTACAGTAGTTCATTTCTCATGTTTTACTTCATATATTGTTTACTTAATGATTATAAAAACATGTTATATGCAATGCTGCCAGCTTTAATTCAATAATGCGACTCATCTATTACGAATTACAAGAGTAAGATTATCAAAATTAATGCTTAAACTTTCGCCTGCTACTACAAAAAAAATAAACTGAACTACTTTTATAAATATTTGAGCAATTAAATAAGCCATTCTAAAAAAACCAGACAATTTCCGAATTTTTTTGAAAACTTAATTTGTATATTTACTTTTCATGCAGATTGTCAAGGCTTTGAAATCTTCACAAAAAATATCTCATCAAAACAGAGTTCAAATTACATACCCAAATGAAAAAGGTATGTGTTGTTATCTATGATTTATTCTCCCACTTTATACTTAATTGAGTTATACTCTATGGCTTAACCTATTTTTAAAGTGCAAACGACATGACACAAACTTACACGTAGGAAGACACACCTGAAATATAATACTTCATCCTTCAAAAAATATTGCAAAAATAATCCCTGAATACGTTTTCTTGATGCCATCATCTGCCAATTAACTTTTTTGAAAGAACTCCATAAAGACCTTAAAAGCATAATGTTTATCAAGTCAATATTAAAAGTGTGTTTAATTGATTAGGCACTTTAAATTTAAAAAAAAGTAGTGATTCATATAGGTTCACTACCAGCTTAGAAGTAAACAAACACCACTTCTCCTTAATTGATTTATACTGTACGCCTTAAACTATTTTAAAAGTGCAAAACACATCACACAAAGTACCAGGTGGAAAGACACNTATTGCAAAAATAATCCCTGAATACGTTTTCTTGATGCCATCATCTGCCAATTAACTTTTTTGAAAGAACTCCATAAAGACCTTAAAAGCATAATGTTTATCAAGTCAATATTAAAAGTGTGTTTAATTGATTAGGCACTTTAAATTTAAAAAAAAGTAGTGATTCATATAGGTTCACTACCAGCTTAGAAGTAAACAAACACCACTTCTCCTTAATTGATTTATACTGTACGCCTTAAACTATTTTAAAAGTGCAAAACACATCACACAAAGTACCAGGTGGAAAGACACGCCTGGATTTGAATACATGATCCATCAACAAATTTTGCGAGAACTCCATAAACACCTATAACATATTAAGTGTATGTTAAATAAAAAAGGCTTCATGCCAACATACAACTTAACAAATAACACTTAATTACCCTTTCATTCTAAATTAATTTATTTCAAATTAATCATAAACACCACCATTAATATGTAAATAACATCATTTAATTCAGAAAAATGATTTACATTGCTCATGTTAGAACTGGTTTTAAAAGTTATTTTGTTTGAGCCCCTAGAGAAATCAGTAATGAAATACAGCAACAAATACCAATTGCACCAAACCTCAATTTCTCAAAGGAAGTTAATGCTTAGTCAATTGATAGTGTGAAGATGGGTAAATGTCTGCCACACATACCTGATAGCCCAATGTTTTTCTCTCCTCTTTTCTCTAGCAGTTCTCCTATATCCCTCATCTTTGCAACTTGCACACGAAGAGGTATCATAAATATGAGACCAACCAAGTCTAATGATACAAATAGCATTTGGAAATGTATTTCTAATGCTTGCAAATAGATTAAACCACAAAGCCCGTGATATATACACAATTTATGCGACAATGAAGTGCATTATAAAACTTTCTCCGCTTTTCCTTTTTATCATTCTAAGATAAATATTTTGAAAAGATTGAAATTGGTTTTATTTTTACATTAAAAAAAAATAACCTGCAATCGGTAAGAAAAAAACAAAAAAAAATTCATCCAACCATTTTAATGTACATGCGCATGTAATTGTTGAGACATAAATCTTTTTTAATTTGTATGTAGGTCAGACAAGTTCATGTTCATCAGAGCGCCTCTTCTCAAAGCTTTTTTGCATGGCAAATTGCTTGACTTCGGAATTCATAAATACACCAATACGTTTAGATGATGAATTTCCAGACACATCAAAAACTGATATAAATTATTGTAAGTACCCTCACTTTTCAAAGCATATCATAATACAATCTATTATTACTATTATGATAACAAAGATAGAACTGTATATATATATTTTAAAATGAAATAATTGTTTTACATTGGTAGTTGACATGCAAATTGTTGTGGATCCAATATTTGCTTGCCGGAAGCAAGTGATTGAACCCTCATTAGGGACACAAAGTTCTACTTTATTACAAAAGGGTATGTCACATACACTTGTGAAAACATGTCAAACTTATAATGGAAAATTGAAAATATTTTACAAAAAAATGAAGTTCAAATAATGTATTACCTGCAGGGGAAAGTAAGGAGAACACATTATCCTTTGAAGATCTCCGATCTTCACACAATGACGCTATGAGTGATAACGAACATGTTCTATCTGATGTTCCCATTATCTTAGATGAAGGTTTCCAAAACGTACAAAACATAGATATACATCAATGTTTGTAAACAAATTCTAACCATTGCCTTTATTACTTTTTGTATATTTTTTTCCAAAAATTAGTTTTTAAATTTGCTATACTCAAGAAATTCCAACTACAACATTTGTTCAATGCAATGGTAATTTTTTAACTACGTCTTCATATGACAAAGGTATGTGTTGTTATCTATGATTTCTTCTCCCACATTATACTTAATTGGTGATAACATTGTAGAGTTTTGGGACATTGATGATGCAATATGTGCATGTGAACATTGTGGTGCACTTTTTTGGTTTGTGGAGCGCCTTTCTACAAGTCGGAAAAAACATAGTCCCACATATTCTGGTTGTTGTGGTCGAGGTAAAGTTGTTTTGCCAAAACTACTAGCTCCACCCCAAAAGTTGCTTGACCTTTACTTTGGTAATGACACAAAAAGCAGCCATTTTAGACAAAATATACGGGCATATAATAATATGTTTTGTTTTACTTCAATGGGCGGAGATGTTGATTATAGTTTAAATGATGGTACGGCTCCGCCAGTATTCAAATTACATGGCCAAAATCATCACAAAATTGGAACGCTGCTTCCTCCTGAAGGAAAAATGCCCAGATTTGCACAATTGTATATCTATGACACATTGAATGAGGTGGATAATCGAATTCTATCGAATCGGTAAGTCATTATATTGTTATTTGTGCATATCTTTTTTTATTTTATTTTAACAATGAAATAAAAAACTTATGCCCTTTATTTTTAGTATTCGATGCACAGGATCACGTAACTTTCATAATGACATTGTGAGAGACTTGCAGAAGATATTGGATGAGCATAACATTCTAGCAAAGTCTTTTCGAATGGCTAGAGAGCATATCACACATGCTTCACATTCAAATGTTAGACTAAAGCTTATAGGCCGTAGGCAAAATGATGCAAGGACATATTCACTACCAACTGTCACAGAAGTTGTTGCTTTATTAGTTGGAGATTTTCATGAAGCGATGGGTGATCGTGACATAATTGTGCAAACTAAAAGCAAAAAACTACAACGAATTAGTGAGATGCATGCATCATATTTGCCTTTGCAGTATCCTTTGCTCTTTCCGTACGGCGAAGATGGATATAGGGAGGATATTTTATTGGCTAGATATGATATGGCTGAAGAGGATGATGAGGAGGAGGGGGAGGATGATAAAAGATACGTTACTATGAGACAATTCTTTGCATATCGAATACATGATAGACAAAATGAAGTCTCAGTGATTTTAGATGCAAAGCGATTATTTCAACAATTTGTTGTTGATGCATACACAATGGTTGAGTACTCAAGGCTCAATTACATTCGCACCCATCAAAAAGAATTGCGTTGTGACTTGTATAATGGCCTTAATGATGCTTTGCTCCGTGGTGAAAATAATGCAGCAATGCAAGGACAACGTATTATCCTACCCTCATCTTTTACTGGTGGTGCACGATATATGATTCAAAATTACCAAGATGCAATGGCTATATGTAGATGGGCAGGTTATCCTAATATTTTCATAACTTTTACCTGCAACCCTCGATGGCCTGAAGTTTTAAGGCATGTACAGAGCAAAGGTTTAGCCCCTGAAGATCGTCCTGACATTGTTTCACGCATTTTTAAGGTTAAGTTAAATATGCTGATGAAAGATATTCGCCAAAAAAAAATATTTGGCACTGTTAGGGCAGGTATTTACCAATAAAACTTATTGTCGTTTACCCTTATTATTATTTACATGTACTTT